ACACACCAGGGGTGGCAACAGCAATTTGTCCCCAAAATGGGAGAGGAGCTGCAGAGTGGGGTGTGCAGCTTCCAGGGTAATGCTTTTGAGGAAAAAGGACAAAACAAAAAAAAAAAACCACAAAACAAGCAAGCAAACTCCTCCTGAATTTACCAACATACTCTTCTTCCTGCAGAATCACCAGAAACACATAAAATCTCCTAATGATACAATTATGGTGTTATTATTCCCCCACACACACCCCTGAATGCCCATAATAAACGAATAGTTTGTAAATCTCTCCTGCTCCCAAGCTGCACATGACTAAATTAAAGTTGAGGAAGCAAAATTACAGCAATTAATCTGATAGGCACGGGCAGAAGGTTTGGGATCCCTCGTCCACTCGAAGGTTCTGCGTGGGGAACGACTCATGACCTCTTTGTCCTCCCGTGGGCCCGAGCTGTCATTTTAGGTGGGCTGTTGCCCCAAGCCCCGAGGGCTGCTTTGTTGTAACGACCCCTTCTGAGTGGATATAGCCTTTCCCCGTGGGCCCATGCGTGGGCACCCTCCCAGGGACTGCAAGCTGAAAACTCCAAATTTCGTTTGCAAAGGGCCATGTCCCACGCAGGGCCTCGGGCCAATGGCCGACCTCAGCTTAGAGCTGCAAACTGTGACCAGTATATATTTGGGTTATTGGGGGGGGTGTCATTTTCCCGCTGAATCTCTCTGACCGCTCCCAAGCCTCTCCCAGACTCGTTCCCACTTTCCCCCCCTCAGCCCCCTCCTTGGAGCTGAGATGGGTAAGGAATTGAGAAGCCTAGGAAAGTCTGCAGTGAAGTTTTGTTTTTCAAACCAAGGCAGATGGAGAAGGCTATAGATGACAAAACCACGGGCCTCCAGCACTTAACTCATCCCACGGTGCCATTAATACAACAAGAATAACAACAGAAAGTGTCAGACCCCCCAGGAGAAAACTTCCTCCTCCCCCACCCGCGGCTCTGGGTGCAGAGCGCCGGGCACCCTCAAGGCTCCGCTGCTACCTACGGGCTCATGCCTGACATATTCTGCAGATAAAAATCTATAATCCTTTCAGCCATGGGCCATTTGGTTTTACATCAGAACAACACGTTGCACGGTCGCCGCTTTTCTCTTCCCGAGCAGCACACAATAAATCAAGAAAGCAATTACGGCAACTCCACTTCCTTAAGTATCCTCCGAGGAATAATATTTATCTGCCACTATAAATCCCGGCTTCGTTCGTTTTCGGCAGAGTTTTTACACCCAGATGGAAATGCGTATTTCGGGGGTGGCGACAAATGAGGAGAAAGTAAAAAAGAAAAAAAAAAAAAAAAAAAGAAAAAAAAAAAAAAAAAAAAAAAAAAAAAAAAAAAAAAAAAAAAAAAAAAAAAAAAAGAAGAAAAAAACCCAAAACAAACACAGAAAGAAAAAATACTCAAGGGCTCATACACAGCCCGAGCCTCTCCAGGGCATCTGCCCCGGGTGCCGCTTACTCCTCCCGCAGCCCCGCCGGGCAGTCGGAGCAACTTTGAAGTTTCCTTCTCACATCACCAAAGGGAGTGAAGCGTCCTCCGGTGAGAGCCTTCCCCCGCCTTGCTCCGTGCTCTCCGGCTCCGCGGACATCGCCGCAGGCGGGAGGAGCCCGGGCAGCACCAGCAGCCTCGGGACAGGGGTCAGTACCCGTACCCAGCGTCACGAGCAGCCCCGGCAGGGCCGCCGGCATCCCCAGCAGTTACGGCAGTATCGTTAGGTCAGGCAGGGGGTACCCCCGGCAGTATCGGTGGTCCCAACAGAAGGGACAGCTCCGGAGGGAGGGTAGCCCCAGGAGCGGTGGTCACAGGGGCAGCCCGGTACCCCGGTAGTACCGGCAGCCCCGAGCGCTGCCGCCGCCCGCAGCGCAGGGGAACTGCGCCCCCAAGAGCCCCCGCGGCCCCATCTCGGCCGGGCGAAGCGTCCTCCGTCCGGCTTCGTCCCGCCGGCAGAACCGGCAGGAAAAGCAGAATCGCCGTTCCTCGGCGCGGGGAGGGAGGTGGCAAAGCGGAGCGCTCCCTAGACACGGGGTGAGCCCCCTGGGGTGCCCTGGACAGGGGCGGAGGGAGCAGGGACGGGCGAGTGCTCGTCCTCTTCCCGCTCTTCCGCAGGGGCTGCTGCTCATCTTCCCCCAGCTCTGCGTTATTTATTAATCGATGTATTTATCCGGTGGTGCCGGGGAGGTGGGTGGCGGAGGGGGTGGGAAGGGAGCTGCCCAAGGTGCAGGGGGGGTTGGGGGGGGCGACGGGACACGTGTGTGCAGGGTAGAGGGGCCGGGTGCGTGTGCGTAGCTGTGTGTGCGTGGCCCGTGTGCTGCCGAATTACTTATTCATGAAAAAGTCACATGTCCGGCGGTGCGCAGGAGAGGAGGAAAAGAGGAGGAAAGGGAGGGGGGGGAAAGAAGAAAGAAGGAAACCCTTGCAGGGGCGGGGGAGGGGGGAAGAACAACCTACCTGTATGAGTCCGCTTGTGGATCTTGAGGTTTTCGGAACGAGCGAAGACCTTCCCGCAGCCGGGGAAGGGGCAGGGGAAGGGCTTCTCTCCCGTGTGCACTCGGATGTGGTTGATGAGCTTGTATTTCGCTTTGAAGGGCTTGCCTTCGCGGGGACACTCCTCCCAGTAGCACACGTGGCTGCTCTGCTCGGGCCCGCCGACGTGCTCCACGGTGACATGGCTCACCAGCTCCTGCATCGTGCTGAAAGTTTTGGAGCAAGGCTTCCTACCGCCCGGTGGCGGCGGCGGAGGCGGCGGAGGCGGATCCCGGTCGATCCATTTGCAGATCAGCTCTTGCTTGATGGGCTGTCGCATGTACCGCAGGAAGGCCCCGGCCGCCGCCGCCGCCCCGACGTGGGCATGGTGGTGGTGGTGATGGTGGTGGTGGTGGGGATGGTGCGGGTGCCCGTGGCCGGCCGCCGCCAGGTTGAGGTTGACGGAGCCGTAGCCTTGCAACGCCGAGGAGGAGGAAGCGGCGGCAGCCCCGTAGTGCGCCTCGGCGCGCCCGTAGAGCTCCCCGGCGGCGGCCGCCAGCCCCAGGCGCATCTGCCCGTTGAGCGGCGGGTGGCGGCCGGCCGGCGCGCCTTGCTCGCCGGCCGGCGGCGGCGGGAAGGCGGCGTGCGCCCCGTCGGCCGCGCCGTAGGTGCCCGCGGCCGAGATGAAGACGCCGTGGGGCGGCGGGTGCGGAAGGTGGGGGGAGCCGACGGGCGGGTGCTGCTCTCCCAGCGCCCCGTGCACGGCGGCGGCGGCGGCAGCGGGAAGCTCCCGCCGCAGGAGGAAGTCCCGGCCCGCCGCCCCCCCCGACGGGTATCCCGGGAGGGCGGCGGCGGGCGGCGCGTAGGCGGCGGCGGTGGTGGCGGCGGCGGTGGTGGCGGCGGCGGCGGCGGCGGCGGCGGTGGTGGTGGCGGCGGGCGCGGCGAAGGCGGCGGCGGTGAGCGCCTCGGGTGTGAGCTTGAGGGCGGCGGGCTGCGCCATGTGCTCGGGTCCGAGCGGCGTGAGGGCGCCGCCGGGGTCGCCGCCCGCGTCCCCGGGGTGGAGGTGGGCCGCGTGGTGGGGGTGGACGTTGTGGTTCCCCAGCCCCGGGAAGCCTGTCATGTTCTGGTGAGGATGGGGCTGAGACGCTGCCAAATCCGCTAATCTCAGTGTCGGGTTCCTCTTGCTCAAAGGGGGCTCCATAACGACACAGCCAAGCCCATCTACGCTCGCTGTTGTTATTTTTTTCCCTTTACCCGCCTTCAAAAACATGTATATATTAAGCGGCTCTTTAACTTCTTTTGTCTGCGCTCCGAGCCCCGCGCATCCCTGGCCCCGCTCTGCCCGCCCGCGATTGGCAGAGCCCTCACCACACTCCGGCGGCGCGCTGGGGAATACGGCTCGGACACCGCGCCGGAGGGATTGGACGGATCTCGATGATTGGCAGCGGCCGGAGCCGCGCGATTGGCTTCCTTTCAGGCCGCGGGCGCAGCGGGGATCCGCCCCCGCCGCCCCCCGCGCCCCCCCCGCGCCGCCCCCCGAAGTTGCACTTGCAAAACTTCGCGCGGGGCCCGACGGGGCGCACCCGCCGCCTCCCCCCGCCGCCCCCCGCCGGCAGCACCGGGCAGCACCGGGCGGCAGCTGCCTCTGCTCCCCCGGCACCGGACGGGGCGCCCTGCTCGCAGGCGCCGCCGCGTTTACGTTCGCGGGGCCGTGGGGTTTCTCTGCTCGCCTGGAAGGAGCCCACGCGCGGGGCTGCTTCCCAGGTCCGCACTCGGTTTCTTTTTCTTTTTTTCTTTTTTTTGGAGGGCCACTTCATTCATGGATGAGGCGGGAAAGCACGCCCTCATACAACGTACCAGCCCCACACCCACGCGAGGCCGAGGCTGTGTGTACTCACGCCTGAGGTAACACTAGGGGAAGGCAGCCAAAGTTTTCCTAAAAAGAAAACGGCGGGGGTTGGGATTCCTTTCCTTTAGAAAATAAACGAGTAAGCAGGGAGGGAAGGAGGAGAGGGGCAAGTGGCATATGTTAGGGCCAAGTTTTGGGAGCCTGCGCTCGCCGCCTCTTTGGGGCTTCCTCCTCCCGCAGCCCCTTGCCGCGGCGCCCCTTGACCCTCAGGGGGCCACCAGCCGTACCCCAAGCAGCTGCCTCCACCTCAGATTTAATTCTGCAACGGCGAAATAGAGATGGAACTGCCGCAGTGACACCGGCCCGGAGCATAAACGTCCCTCGACGCTTTGGGATGTAGGGGACAGAGGGGGGAGGTAGGATGGGAAATGGGGGAGTCTCCGCCTAGGGACTGTCAGCCCTGAGCTGCTGCCCTAGACGAAAAGAGAGGAAGAGTGGGAGCTCTCCTAAAAGGGGGCAGAGGTGGGGAACGGGCGGGGAAAGCGATGGGACCGCCCCTGGGGTGTGGGGTGTGGTAGTCCTCGAAAGTGGAGCTCTTTGTGGAGTGCCGAAGCTGCCCCGTCGACACAAAGGATGCTGTCGTTCGAGGGAGACGACTAGGCAGTGCCGGGATTTCCCTGCCGAGCCAAAAGGGGGAGAGGAGCATTGTCGTGAATTTTCTGTAGGACTGAGGGAGGAGAAGTAGCTTTTATTGATATATCATCTGCTTTCTTTAGGCTACTGGTCCCCCTGGGAATGCCTTGAGCTCCTGCTCTCCTTGGAAAGTGCAGGCAGGCTGCCTGCCCTTCCTTACCTCTGAGGCAGTGAGGGACGCTCCTCCACCATCCCAGGAGAGGAAGAGGTGTGGGGGATGCCAGTGGACGCCCATACACACGCACCCTGGCCCTCCCCGGCAACCTAATCCCCTTGACCAAACTACATCTGCTCGTCTTGTCCTTTTCCCTATGCTGAGCCATGTTTAAAGGAAGCCCCGTGCTGGTCCGGCATTTCCTGGGCCAGGCTCCAGCACCCCCTCCTCCCTCCCTCCCGCCGCTACTCACGTGAGGAAAACTCGCAGGATTTGGCCCACGGCTGCCGAAGGGGTGGGACAGGCTATAGGGAATGCTCAAGGGGGAGTGAGACCCACCGGTTCCCTCTTCTCTCTCCCCCCCCAGAGCCGAACCGTTGTTCCCAGCTCTAGTGGCCACGATGGGGGTTTCAGTGATTCTGCAAGGCAAGAAACGGGAATAAATGATCCCCGGGTTTTAAAAGGGACTGCTTGATGGTTTTATTGCACAGTAAAAACTTCTCGCTAACTAGCCGTACGTCTGTATGGGTATTTATATACGTATGTTTTCTATACGTCCGTCCAAACAGTGCCTTCCCTCCCTAAATTCTTGGCACGTGTCTGGACTGAGGTTCAGAATGGTTTGACAGGAGATGCTGTGGAGATGAAGAACAGCATCACGGCTCCTCATCCCTCTCCTGTTAAAAGCAGCGTGATATGTATCTGTCATCGATTTAATACGTCTTAACTCAAATATATCCCCCGATCAATTTCTTTTTATGAGAGGCTATAAAACAATGAAAATATTTTATAGGTGGCTAATAGGCAGCTGACCTGTGACTGTGGGGAGGGAGGGGTTGATCGAGACTCAGGCGGAAACTAGCCCATTTTTAGGACTGGCTGCAAACGCCAGAAAGCAAAGGTGACTGCCCGGGCCAGGTCAATTTTGGACATTTCCATCTCCAAAAGTGCCATGAAGAATTTAAAGCCCATTGACTCACCGATACCAACTCAGGCCCAGACTGCTACAGCCCTCTGGACCTGCAACACAGGGAGGCGAACTGTGCTATCCCCACAGCCCCCCAAAAACCTCAGCAGCGCCCGTCGGGGGTCGGAACGCACCCTGTTCCCGCGGCGGAGCTGGCTGCGAAACTCTCCCACAGTGCCCCGCTCGCCGGCAAATCTGCTAAGGGACATGGGGGGGGCTGCAGAGGCGGGGTGAAACCTGGAAGCCTTCAGATTTGTTTCGTAAAGCTTCCTCTATAAACCGAGCTCGGGCTATCGGCTTTAGAAGGTATTTAACTAAAACGTTGTGCTATGAGCTGCGTTATGTAAATGTATGCTAATGATCATGAACACCATTTACAAACAATCGTCTTTAATGCACGTCTTATTGATAGTTAGGGAGCAGGGAGCAATATTTTATAACTTGTAAAGCATTCTTCTGGGGAAGCATTAGAAAAGGAGCGCGACTGCCGCTTTCCTTGGCAAGACCTCCAAATATCCCCGCAATCTGCTGAAAAAGCCTACCCTCCTCCCGACCCGTCGCCAGTGGCTTCCTTTGCTCCTGGGGCTGCCTTGCGGCATGGGGGAGCCCGTGGCGCGGTGCCCTCCGCGAACATGCTTGATTGGAGATGGATTCCGCCCGTACCAGGAGGGAGCGCCCCGAGTCATAGCCCCGTGGGGACCGACACGGGCAGGGAGTAACCACGGTGTCCTCCTCACCATCCCATCGGAGGAATAACATGGAGGCACTGGGAGCTCGGGCGGGAGCGGGTGGCTGCCCAGGGGCACGAAAGGGAAAGAGAGAGCCATGTGGCAGTGAGACTCCACATCCCTCCTTTATTGAGGGGCTCAGCGGATGGATATTTTATACCCTTAAAAATTAAACTTCTCCTGAGCCAAATGTCGTCGCTCTGTGCACCCAAGTGGGAACCCGAGGGCTGGCACCCGGACACGAGTGGGTGCCGGCACCGTGCCCGACGTCGGGCTGCCGGGGCCGAGACCCGCCACATCTTTGGGACAGGGATTTACGAGTAAGAGTTTCGGAGCTGCTGTTTTCAGTGAGCGCCTCGCCAGGGAAAGAGGGATCCCTTCGGGGTTTGCTCAAATAGGGACAAAATAAGGAAAAAAAATTCCATCCTTCAGTGTCTCTTTCTCTCTCTCTCTCTTTTTCTGTCTGTCTGTCTGTCTATCTATCTATCTATCTATCTATCTATCTATCTATCTATCTATCTATCTTTCTATTTATCTATGCCTACAGAGAAATAAAGAGATAAAGAGAGAGGCGGTCTCAAGGAAACCCAGGCCAAATTTTGCTCTGATCTCTCTCTCCCCCTTCCCCTCTCTCTGTGGCTGAACGTCACCGTTGGAAGAAGCTGTTGAGATAAATCAAATAGTGACACTTTGACGGCTTTACTTGTATAAGCAATATGGTTACCATATGGCATTGTTATTTATGAATGACGGCATAAATTGTATTACAAAGTCCATCGCCCTTTATTGGGACGCTTCTTCCATGCCTCTAACGTTTATGTGGGCATCTCCAGATGGAAGAAGGTGCATATAATAAAGCCCGGCAGTGCGGCCGCAGACCCCATTTTGGGGGCGTTGCGCCGGGTCTACACTGGCTGCAGAATGAGGCGCGCAGCAGGGAAGGGCGCGGGGCGCGCGAAGTACGCGGCTCTGCGCGTCCCTCGGCCGCAGCTGGGCAGGGCAGAGGCACCGGCTGCCACTCGGCCAAGGTTCCCGTCCTGGAAAAAAACGCTACACTGCTCCTCGCCCCCGCCGCCTCACGCCATTCCTGCCGAGAGAGGGGTTTTATACAGCAACTTCTTTTATACATACATATATATAAGTGCAACTGAAGAAACCATAAATATTAATGGCACGAAAGCAGCGTGCTCCTTCCTCCTGCCCCTGCTCTGCCTAGCGTGGGTTTGTTTTGATTTTTTTTTGTTGTTGTTTTGCTTTGGCTTGTTTTTTTTTTTTTTTTTAAGAAGTATTTGAAGGTTACAGCTTTGGCTGAGATTTTCATTATTTCCCCTTTTTCTTTTACATTACACTGCCGGTAGAGCCTGACAAAGAACTTTTGTCCCGAAGTGTGTGTTTTACAGAGAGAGGCTACAGCACAACACATGTGGTCTTCACGGGTCATAGGTCGAACGGCCTAGAAGTGGCTCGAATCGGCACCATCAAAGGTAACCTGCAACTTAATATCCTGTTGATGAGCTTGTTGAATTTATGAGTGTCTGTGATACAGACAACGGTGCAAGTGATGCCGCTCAACTGGCCTCTTCTTCCCAGGCTACCGGCCAACCGCACACCCCCTCCTCGGCCCGCACCTCATCCCTGTTACTCTGTGGGAAGGATGAATTTTGGGGGAAAGACTTTCTCTTCCCCCTTTCCCTATCCCTCCTTCCCCACGGTGGGTCCTTCAACTTCTTTTTCTCCGATGAGCCCGTCACCAGCCGCATCCTCCACAGCCTGCGCCCCCACCGCGGTACCTACGGCTACTGAGGAGGGGGCGATGGAAGGAGGGGGAGCGGATACTCCCCAGAGGGCGCTGACACCTCCCGGGAAAAGGGGCTAGCAGGCGAAGACGGTAGGTACAGTCCAGGGGAAGCAAGAAATTGCTTTCCCTCGCCCCGACCCCCCCCACTAGTTCTCTCCACATCACCAGCCGGCAAGAAAAAGAGCAAAACAGTTTTAAAGAGAATTTCGGAAAACTTACAAAGACGTGAACGGTTTCCCGGGGAAGCCGACGTTTGTTCTGCAGGTCTGGCACCTCCAGAAACCTGTTGAAAAACTTCTTTCAATAAACCGATTTAGCACCGACTTTGGGTGACCGCTTGCTTTCCTCCCTCGAAAGCTGCCGTAAGCCGCAGGCTGCGTTTGTGGCGGTGGCCCGACGAGAGAGTGCGGGGCTGGCTGCCGGTGCCTCTGCTCCCCCCCCCTTCCTCCCTCGCTCCCTTCCCTTGTTACCCTGTGACATGGGGGAAAGAGGTTTTGCGGTTCAGAGGGAAATAAAGCACTTCTTAGGAGGGACGGCGACGTGACTTTGAACTTGGATCAGCTCCTCTGTTTCCTGCAGAGAGAGTAGGGCTGGAGCCCTGAAAGAATAGCAGAGCGCGGCCAGCCTACGGGGGCTCCGGCTGGAATTCACCGCGTCCCCCTGAAAGCGCCCCGGTGTCGGCGCCGCTGAGCGGGCAGAGCGAGGGGTGAGGGGAGGGGACGCAGGAAAAGAAGGGAAGGAAAGAAAAAGGAGAGAAAGGAATAAAGAAAGAGAATAAAGAAATAAGAGAGAAAGGAAAAGAAAGGGAGGGAAAGGAGAGGAAGGAAGGAAGGGAGGAAGGAAAAGAGAAGATGAGGGAAAATAAAGGAGGAAAGAGAGAGAGGAAAAGAGGAGTAGAGAAAGAAAGGAAAGAAAGAAAGAAAGAAAGAAAGAAAGAAAGAAAGAAAGAA